GTGAAGGTGCTGGAGGTAACTGGCCTAATGACGACGACATCGATGGAGGTCCTCGAGCCGGATCTGGTAGCGTCATCGCCGAAGGAGGAGGAAGTCCTCGGTGAGGTGTGCCCATGTTGTGAGAGGAGTTGACTTCCTGTGCAGGTGGGGATAGCCCACGATGATGCCTATTTGAGTATCGAGCAGCCGTGGAAGAAGAAGAGAAGGCTGGTGAGTAGGCATGGGGTTTGAATTCGAAATCGGACTTGACCGGGTTAGAGAGTGTGAGCAACATGGAGGAAGGTGGAGCCGGTGTGGTAGATGTGGTAGGAGCAATTCAACATTGAAATGAGTCGTTGGGTGGCGCCAAAACTCGTAGGTCCGGAAGGAGAAGGAACAGTGTACATACTTATTCACCAGAGTACGTTTTACCGGGACCACCATCCACAAATGGCCCGGGATGGAATCGTAGCCGTTGCCTTAGGGCCTAGGCTTAATATGTCCCTGGCAAAGTAGCCTCGATTTGATTCGCGGCCAAAGCAGGGCGACAAAGAGCACAGGAAGAGTAACAGGCGAAGCTGCATGCAACGAAGATCAAGCCCCGTAGAAGCTCGCGTGGGCCGGCGTGGTCGATCAAGTCCAGATTGGAGAGAGGCAAGTGAAAATGGGCAACGGTGGGGAATGGTGTACGAGAAGGGAAGAGGGCCGACTGGGATTGGACCAACCGACGAGGGTGACGGCCGCAAAGGCTTGAGAGTAGCACGAGCAAACGGCAGGCCGTACGTCAATGACGGGCGATATGTGGCGTTCGACAGGCGAAGGTGGGAGGGGACCTTTGCAGGGGTATGCATGAAACGGGATGGTTGTCAGCAAGTGCAATGTTGTTAGAAATGGTAGTGCGCGTTCTTGTAGTCCCACCATGTGACGCGCCTGGAGAAGGACTCCGGCTGATGCAAACTCTGGTAGCGGTTCCCACTTGTGGCGCTGGCATTTGCCGCAAAACTACTTACGTCCCGTTTGCCAGCCAAGCAAGTTCAGCTTGAAAGCAGCGACGGTAGTTTGATAATACATTGGCCTGAAGCTAGACATAAAGAGTTGGCGTCGCGGATACTTCCACATTGGCCTCGATCAACCCATGGCCTCCGTATGTTGTAGAGCAGACAAAGTGAAGCTCAGACACACCAGGTGCTACCGGCTTGTGCTGTACAATGACAACGAATGAGCCCGAAGACTTCGGCATCATTCTGGTCGTACTGGACCGCTCGCATGTTGCTGTTGTAAGGCCGCAGCTGATGACCGCAAATTGGATTACAATGCCTCGACTAGGTAAAATGGCATCAGGCACGCATTCGGTAATTAGTTGTGCAGCTCTGCTCTGGACCACCATCGCTGCTGGGTTCATGGTATCTGTGCCTGTGGCTGAACGCGAGGCTCAAGGCATGTGGACTGGATGGCGTGGCCTGGGATTCTGAGCCGTGCGCTAACACCAGCCAGCAGGGTCAAACGTCCGGGAGGAAGCGAGCGCAAGATTACCGCTGCCCGGATTGTGAACTGGCTCAACCTAGCTCGTCCAGGTCGCATGATAGGAAATGAAGGGTCGTCACCATCGTCAGACCTCAGCCATGTAATATCCCGAAGTGGAAACGTGAAATGAGATTTTCGTGTTCTAAGAGCCGCCGTGCTTCATGACGAAACCTTGGAATTGGTGGAAATGTAGCCTGTGGCCCTGTTGCAGAACCTGTTCCGAGTTTAGTGTAATGTCCGAACAAGTATACACATGCCGTCATAGCGTCAACGGCTGAGGGTGCTTTGATGAAAAGCACAATGGTGGCACGGAGCAAGGGACCGTCTTCAACTTGTCAGCCTTGGGGACCCCTCCGGATCTACATAGCGTGACAGACAGCATGCTCAATCGATAAGAGGAACGATCATCGAGCCGACGCAACCTTGAAGACCCGGGAGAGTGTCACTCCGAGGGTGCTGGAGATGCGCGTAGAGGCAGCCAATGTGTTGATCCTCGCGTGCGCGCCGCCCTCCGTGTGTATGCTTGTGCAATTAGCGACACGCCAGCACTGACGGTGCGTTCCCACCATAGCCCGTAATGTCAACGCAGATGACAGCTCGCAAGCCATCCTTGGGAAGGGACGGGTTAACAGACGCGGCGTTGCGCAATGCCCGAGCGCCTGGCGCTGGCTCGAACGATCGACTAGAAACGTAAATTTCCGTGTCGGCGCGTAAGCTATACCTATCCTGCTCATGCAGCGGATCTACGTGAAACTCGCGGCGCACCAGATCTGTACGAAGGATCTTTGAGTATGATTTCCGGCCCCGGCTGGCTAGTCCTTAGGCCCAATCAAATTCATTTTGAGCTGCTTAGCATCATAACAGCAGTCGAAATGGGGATACCATGGCGAAATTGCTGTTGACAACGCGTCGTCCTTCTGGGGCACGAGATACGGTTGTGGAGAAAAAGCTCTGTTGTCTTGACAAATTCGACAATTTCTCGACTTGAAACTGCCGAACTGGTAATGTAGGAGTAGGAATGGGTTCAGTAATCATGTTGTCATAACGGTTCTGCTTCTTCTGGACAGCACGTCGTAAAGGTGCGTATGCGAAACCGATGACAATGTGTGCCTCAAGCGATACGCAGAAAAGGTCTGGCAACGGTCCGGGTGTAGGGATGGCTTTTGATACCCATTCTGTATAGCCTCCTCTCCACATACCAGGATTCCAGCTAAACCACGTCGGAGTAGTCAACGTTGAGGCATGTGTTGACTATCCAAAAGGACATGCACATTCTTGGGGATGGCCGATAAACGTTGGGACTTAGCATGGCGGCTTAAACTAACGATGCACTGGCAAAGCATGTTGTTCCTGCTGTGCAAGAAGAGCCAAGCGTCTCCGATCGTGGAAATGATGGGGCTTGCAGTAGGGATGAATAAAAGCAGAAGTAGCATATGCAGTTCAACTCAAGTTCGGGCATTAGCTTTGCTGGATCGTGGCCTGATGCCATTATCGGAGAGTCGGAGTGAGGGCTAGCCGCGAAGCTGCTGCTAACGCACTCCTGCAGCAGTAGTCAGTGGACAAGAGGAGCCGGTGTAGTAGTCCCTATGATCGCAATGCCTTGCGGCCAACAAGACAGAGCCAGGCGGGTAGTCGCTGAAAACTGCACAAGACGCACGTAAGCTGCAATACCGTGGACGATCTGTCGTCTCCGTTGTGTAGCCTATTGGACCCGTCGCTAGTCAGCCGATTAGTGTACCAAGATGTGAATGCCTACCCACCGGCTAGTCTTTCACGGTGTAAACCTCCGATAAAACTTGCACCTTGCCATCGCTTGCCTTTCCTAAGTTGACTGGAGTAAGTGGCGTAGTCGCGGGAAGGGTGTGTCAACCTACACATGGTCGATTTCTAGATCGAGCGAACATGTTGCTGATCTTCGCTTCACATTTAGAAAATCAGACCACAGATCAGCGTCGTTGATCAAACCGGCTCTTGCACCTGCAAAGCGAAGACGCGACACGCTGTCCTCCCGTTCGGAGTAGCCGACTGTAACTCAGGACGGAAGCAGATAGTCGAGGCAGTTGCCCACTTGTGACAAGACGGTAGTTGAGGGAGGCAAAGTGTACGCGTAGTGGGGAGGCGAATATACTAGTTGAGGCAGGAGGTAGCGATGGTTCGCCACCCAAATCGGCATCTGTGACTTCCTCATCGGGAGCCATCGCAACTCTACCCGGTGCACATGGCTATTTTTACCGGCACAGCATACACACACTCGCTCTTGGGCAATACATTCTCATCCAGCACGGGTGTTGATCGTGTATTCTTCCACCCATTAGGCTGTGCGTCGGTTGGAGTTATTGCCCGAATACAGCACCTCTGCCTCACTTTTCCTCTACCCGTGTGGCTTCGGTCTTTTGTAATCGATTTAGAAAGAGGGATGTCTACCAAAATTATTAAGTTTCCATATGAAAAGACTTATCACGTGCTCCGCTACACCTGCGAGTTTTGAATCTTGCTTGGTTTGTTATTGTAGAGGTTCCCGCGTCTTTGGAAGATCGTCCGTCCACCTTCCTAGTTTCTCTCCCTTCCCGTACGTGGAGCCACAATCCGACCCAGCAATACTCCCTGTTACCCGTCGCCGCAGTCCGTCCGCCGGCTGTCTGTTGTCACCCGCCAAAGAAGCGATGATCACTTATACTTGGTCACAAATGAGTGATGCCATGCTGATCTTGCACGAAAGCGTTATTATTGTTTGCAAATCTCTTACTCTTCCAGAAGCTTCTGATATTCGAGAACATGTTCTTCGATTTGGTCACTAGCCTGATAATTTCCATGCTTGTGGGAGATTAACTATTATATTACTACATTTAGTCAGAATTATGCTGGATATATGTGATGACGATATTCCCTAAATCGTTCGACCGGTGAAAATGCAGACAAGAAAAAGGAAGCAAGAGGTATCTTGATGAAGAGGCATTCCATGCATGCGCCGACGTTTGAGGCTATCCTCAGAAGTAACAAAAGAAAAGGTGCCACCACGGCACACAACCCAACCATCAGGTCAAAGGATGCTCTCCCGAAGCATGCCTGGCAGAAACGTGGCCCAAACGTGGGCGAGTCAGGCATTCCTCATACTATGATGATGGTGGTGTCATCCACGTTGCACCACTAAGAAACGCCTAAAGTGTAAATAGGAAGTGATGTGTCGCGGGTAAAACCTGGAAAGCGTAGGTGGTATGGCCTGGAAAAACAAAACAAAATTCATGATGCCGCAAATCTTGGGAAACGTGCCAGCCACGTTATAGCCATGCGACCGATGGAACACCATCGCAAGCCACCCATCTGGAAAAGATCGACCGTTGGCTGCTGGAAATGGTATGGAAGAAGAGATGTTCGGTTGGATGTGATGCCGTGTTTGGTGGTGTACCAAACTCCAACTTGCAACGCGCCCGCTTGCAAGATCGCGCGCTTCCGCCAGGTCGGTGTCAAGTTCCAGGATTCCGGAGCGCCAGCCTACCTTAAGCATTGGCTCGCTTCTTCCGCATCTTGTATTCAGCCTTCGCCACGCGCATCAACAACTCTTCGTCTTTAATAGGGATCCAAGAGGTCAACACCTTCATCGCGTTCTCGAAGTCTGAGTCCAGCAAGATCTCTCTCGTCGCATCAATAAGCGCAGCCGATGTAGCATGTAACACATCCATGTCTCCACTGAACTTGGACGTCGGCGAGTTGGAATGAGACTTGTCGCCCAGTAGCATGAACACGTCCCAGACGCGTAGCTGAGCGGGGAAAGGTAACGAATAGTTGAACAGCGTCAGGTACCACCGGGTACCGTACGCGGTCGAGCTAATGCCAAGATCAATCTACAAAAGAGTTTGATTAGCACATATACCAAGGCGTCAGCCTCTCCAGTAGTAGTGACTTACTAGCTTCTTTGCGACATCACCTCCGCACAGCCAGTTCAGCTCAAAGTCATCTAGAGCCTCCATGAGTCCTTCGAAACCAGCTTCATAGAGTCTTTCCATGCCTCGAAGCTGCCACAATCGCACTAGCATGACGAAAGCTCGGTCCTCTTCGTAATAGCAAAGAAGCGTTGCGGTTAGTGCAGCCATGCCTTGGACGTAGCCAGTTTCAGGCAAGTACAGTGACATCGCATGCAGTACGCGGAATAGAAGTCGCTGGCCTCCACGGTACCGCCGCCGGAACATGATATGCCGGTTGATAGTGCGAGGTACATCAACATCAATCTGCACATCCTCTGCAGAGCTCTCCAGCTGGAGTTCGTAAAAGCTTTCGATGAGCTCCTCTTCTGTTGGACTATTTGCGTCGGCTTTGGCACTCGCAGCAAGGAACGAGTACCACGCAGTCGCCCTCCAGCGATCAGGTATGCCCTTCCATGTGCGAGAGATGACCTTGGGGTCTTTGGTATCGAATTCAAACAGCATGCCCCCCTTATCTGCCCCCGCTTTGACAACCTTGGCCATCTTACGCCATTTTTCGTTGCGCTCGATTTCCTTTGCTCTCATCGCCTGTGCAGCCCTTCCTCCTTCTTGCTGTTCCGCAACCTCGGCTAGACCGGGCGGTAGCTTGAGCATGTCACTCGCCTCGTCCCTCAGCCTGCGGTCCCGATTATGGGGTAACCTGTTTGTCGCGTGTCGCAGGGGCCTGTGACTGCTGTGCGTATCTGAAGTGCGACCTGAGAAAATCGATCTGGCGGGTCTTGAAGATTTGCCAGAAAGCCGCCGCTTAGGTGAGCCTGAGCGTGGGTCTACAGAACGAGTAGAGCGAGCTCTCGATGCGCTGCGCCCTAGACGCCGTCGTCTAGGCTCTTCAGACAGCAGTTGTAGTGTTGTAGTGACTCGCTGCATGCGGGGCACGTCGGGTCCGTCTGGGCCGTCGGCGTCGGATTTCGACTTTGTCTTTTTAGGTATGATAAAACCGTATCGGTCGACCTCTCCACCGTCAAGATCCGCCCAGTCCTCGAGTCCACCGGCTGCCTCTGTAGGTTCTTTGACTATCACACTCCCGTGTCGTGAGCTTATGAGTGAACTTGTGTCCTCGTTGCCTTCCACGAGCACCGACGAACCATTAGCTGGGGTGTTGGTAACAGCGCTGCTCCCCAGGTAGCTGTTCTGAACACTGCTTGTCTCCTCCTCGGGTGTATCCCAGTTGACAGCACTCTCGTTGCCATGCATGTACATGCAGCGAACTTTGCGCGACAGTGTCATCTCATCGGCTGATAGTACTCGGTGGTTCGTTGATCGTGCGCGGGTCGAGTAACGTGAGGTGGATCGCGGTGAGAGGTGCTTCGTCGCGGGTGTGGGTGAGGGTGAAGGGTCCTGCTTGGGTGATTCATTTGGCTGCGCCTGCTCCTTTTGTCGCGGTGGTGTGCTTGGTGCGGGCGCGGCTTCCACAAGGAGATCCATTTGTTTGCTTCGCCTGTTTACCTTCTTGCCACCCAACATCATGCTGCCTCGCTTGGAGAAAGATATCTGCGCGTCCGAAGAGAAGTCGTCGAAGCTGCCTGTAGGAATGTACGTGTCTAGGCCAGGGAACTCGGCCTCTTGCTCGCATGTGGCATCGTCTAGTGAGCAACGTCGTTGTGACGCATGGCCCTTGGGACCTGAGGAGCGTTCATCCTGCACTACAATGGCAGGCAGACTCGGCGTCTTGCGCAGGCTAGTAGGTGAGGGCGGTTCGTTGGTGGTAGTGCCATTGGAGGGTGCTAAGGCCGAATCTCTGCGGTCGTCGTCCTCGTTCAGTAGCGTCCGCTTCAGGGAGAAAGCTCGAGGCCCGGGTGAAGTGCGTGGTCGGCGGACATTGGTGAGCCACGATCGTGATGCGGGGCCCTTGGTCGACGAGATGCTGTGTGCATTCGAGGGAACCGGCGACAACTGATTCGAGGCCTCGGACGTCTCCACCGCGGCGTGACCAGCGGAGTTTCCAGCCTCATCTCTCATCATGTGAGGCGCAGGCAGGTCCTGGTCATAGAGTCGGTCCCTGGAGAGAATAGCGGCTGGCAAAGCGAAATGAAGGGAAATGAAAGGGTGTGGGCGAGACGGCAACCTGCGACTCTGATTTCCAAAGTGCAGCGACGAAGGTATGCCGGGCTATGTTTGCACAGAGTAACAACGTCAATGCTATGGACAAATGGTGCAATTGAAAAGCAAAGGCCTATGCGACGACTATGGGATCAAAAAAGATCCCGGCATGGCTTGACTTGACTGGGGAAAAGGGGCGTCGCTATCAATCGGGTCGTGGGTCGCATGCCTTCTCCAGACTTGTTGCCGGCCGGAGATTGCCCAGATGCTCAACGCGCTCGGTAGAAGGGTGACGCCTGCTCACTTGACCGGCCCGTACTTGCCTCAACCACGACATCCCATATTTCTTTGTCCCTCACCGCATCGCGCCCTCACACCTCTTGGGTTTTGCACTCTGCGTGCTTTCTGGGGACATGATGCGTAGACACCTCTGTTCCTGCAATCACGCTCAATATGCCCCGCTGAAGCGTCGCGACACCCCACAAAAGCCAAACCCCCGGCGACGATCGCTGTTCCACGCGTCAATAAACTTTCCGGTCATGGCTCCTCAAAGCGGACGCCGACTAACAAATCCCAACGTCATATTCTAGCTGGGCTGCTATCGTATCAGTTGTCATACGACGCAGACTCAAACAGAGCAAGAGCTGGATAGACAACACGCCCTTTATTCGGGTGGCACAGGCAATCACAGCGTTCTCGTGCTTACCACGCTGATGTCCACGCAATCTGTACTCTAGCCCAACACACCAAGGGCTGTCTCGTTATGGTCGCCTTAAGAGGAAGGTGCTCTCTAGTTTCCCTCCCTTGCATACTGCCACTCAAGCCCTCACCAGTACGCTCGGCCAGTGTACCAGTCTCACAAAATGCTGCGCATATTCGTACCCCAACAGTACGTCTTCTGGTCGAAACAAGAGAAAGCACAAAGTATTTCGCCAGGTATACACATATCATGTTGAATTGAGCAGTCGTACTGAGCCCAGAGAGCAATGAGCGTTTTTCGCGGAGGTTTGGAGAGCCTCGTAGCTAAGATAGAATTCATACAAAACCTGCCAATATGCGGGTTTTACTTCTGGCTACACCTCGCTTATGTTCGCATATTGCAGCAAACCTCTGCTGGGTCTGATTCCTGACGATCAAGACATGCAGAAAGACCATCAGAAATCGAAGAGAATCCTGTTTCACCCTGAATATCTCCGTAAAGCCCTTCTCACTCAACCGTCAGGCTCGATGCAAGCACACATGCCTACACTGATGCTGATGCTGGGTTAAATTGTGCCATCGCCATCTGGATGACTAACTCAGACTGATAACGCTTTTTTTCGACTAATGTAAGCAGTGGGCGGTCCTGTTGGTCGCGTTACGATATCACTCGTCTGCATCGGTCATCGTAGCCTGGCTCTAATACGAACATATCGTTCTCAACTTCGACCAACCAAGTCCATTCTCACTTCCAGATTTATCCAACGGATAACTGGTGCCGCAAAAGAAGCCCCACTCTAGAATCGTGAATCGTGGGGCGTGCAAGTAGCTACCCCTCATCGCTTTTCAGCGTGTCGTCAGTGTGTGGCTATGTGTCCATATCTAACTGCGGGGAACACGCGACAAGCGTCACACGACTGGCAGTCAGCAAACCTTGTGTAGAAAAAAACATTGGCACGAGAGCACATAAGCCTGGAGTGAATGCCTCAGCTGGACGTGTCTGGACAAAGGGCTACCCGTGATGGCATCCTTAGATTTGATCAATCAGGCTCCTGTGGTATGCGACTAAAGCTTCTTGGGACAGAGAACATAACTAATGACCACATCCAGGGAACTAAACTTTGGGTATGACTCTTGGCGGCATCCTTACCAACTACACTCACCCTAACACTACTGTCATCAGATCCTCCATCTTGGTATACTCGAATGTGATGATGGCTGGTTCATCCGTGCAGCAAACGCCTCCTCGCTATCTAACCCCAATCCTGTAAACAAGCGCCGCAGACTTGTCATGCTCGGTATCCTTATCGAACATCCGACTGAAGGCCTCATTCTATATGAAACTGGCGGTGGAGAAGACTACCCCAATCTCGCGGGTGCACACGTTCAAGACGTCTTCTCACGAGTCGACTACGACAAGTCTATGAACCTTGACGAACAAATCGCCTTGACTGGCCACAAGATTGAAGACGTAAAGATGGTCATCATAGGGCACTTACACCTCGATCATTCTGGCGGCCTAGACCATTTTAGAGGCAAAAACATACCTGTTTACGTTCATGAGCTCGAACTCAAACACGCCTTCTATAGTGTCGCTACCAAGACTGATCTTGGCGTTTACCTCCCTCATTACCTTACTTTCGATATCAACTGGGTTCCCTTCCATGGCGCATACTATGAGATTGCTCCCGGCATCAACTTGCACCATGCACCTGGACACACACCCGGACTAACGATCATGCAGGTGAATTTGAAGGAAAGCGGGACCTGGATCTTCACGAGCGATCAGTATCACGTCAAGGAGAACTTTCAGGACAGTATACCACAAGGCTGGTTAGCAAGAGATCACGATGCGTGGGTTCGGAGTCATCAGATGATCAAGGGATTGCAGAAGAGAACGAATGCGAAGGTCTTGCTGGGCCATTGTTTGGATACGATTAAAGAGTTGGGTGTTGACTTTGCCCCTACGACTTATAAGTGAGGTTATGAATGGGGTAAGTTCAGCGAAAGGCGTTGATAAGGTACGATCAGACTGCTCACCACATCGTACTGTTCATTACATTCCAATTTCAGACCTTGTACCGTTTTCCGAAAAATTCTCTCATATCCCTCACCATCTCCTCCGGACACTCCATGCAGGCAAAATGTCCTCCATGGTCATGATCTGGAAAGCCCGTTAGCATATCCCACCTTTCCATCATCCCTCAGCCAATCTCATCCCATTTCATTTGATTCCACACGAAACACGTTGGGGATCCCGATCGCACACATGACATACCTCTGAAAAACTTCAGATCCGTACATGTAGTCTCGACACCACTCTTAGGCGCAGGAAAAGCATCGTAGGGGAACGTGCTCACGCCCAGAGGCACGCGGATCAGGTTTTCTTCTTTGGCGTCGAATTTGGTGTACATTTCGTGGCGCACATTGTTGTAATAGGATAACATACCTGTGGTATGCTTGTTAGCACGGCGCATGTGGCGAAGAAGAAAGCAGAAAAGAAGATAAACGTACTCGTCATGACACTTGGCGGCGTGAAGAAATACAGCGAAAGCGTCGTGCAAAGATCATGTAGCCACTGCTCGTTAACGAGTGTCGCTGTGCCTAAACTTGGATCAGCAAGTTCATTGTATTTTTCACCAAAGAACATCATGATTCCGACAGGATTATCTGTCGTGTTTCTTATGTTAGCTTGCGATTACTCAAATACCATGGTCTCTGTGGCGTACCGTTGAAGGCCACGCCAATAGTCTGCGGTCGTGTTCTCATCTCAATCGCATACCCCATATGCGTCTCATTTAGCGGCTTCCCTAGAAACCATTCCGCTCTCGCTATCCCCTTCTTTTCTTTCTCCGTTAGGCTAGTGCCTTCTGGAGGTGCGCCAGGACACATGTTCGTGTGCACTGCTTTGCAGTTGGGATACCGACCAGAGCCAAGTTCGCGGACGACCCAGTGACCCCAGTCTCCGGCTTGGGCGGCGTAAGACGTGTACTGTTGGAGGTGGTGTTTGTCAATGGAAGAACTCATAGTAGGAGTGCGGTTGGATGGTATAGACAGTGAGGAAAACGTACACCAAGTCTCTTCATCAACTCATCGAACAACCTCGCAGTATCCTGCAAGGTATGGCCCCTCGGTGGACCTTGCGACCAGCAATACCCTGGTAGCGACGGGACAACAAGATCGAAAGCTGGTTGTGTATCGTTTTCAGGATTCAAAAGGGGTTGCATTACGTTCTGGAACCTACACTCTTCTTATTAGTCCACAGGACAGATCTCTCAAGTATCCTCAAAGACAATACCATGAGATAAAATCTGCAGTATGACCAGTAATTAAAGGGGGGAAGTAATGACATACTCAAACCATGTTCCTGGCCACCCATGAACCAACAACAACGGCACCGCATCCCTTCTCTCCGCCTTCTGATGTATAAAATGTATCTTTAACCCCTCGATCTCAGTCGTAAAATGGTTCCACGCATTAATCTGCTTTTGCGCTCTCCCCCAATCAAACTTGTTGAGCCAGTGATTGTACAATGTCTGTACCCACTCGAGTGATGGTCCATAGTCTTCGCCGGCATCAGGTACAATGGGTTGGGTAGGCAATCTTGTATCGGCTAGCTTGCGAAAGAGGCGATCGACTTCTGTTTGGGAGATATTGGAGTCGAAAGGTTTGATTTCAGAGGACATCGTGTGATATTTTGTTACTGCGCTTGTTTGGTAAGAGTGAATGACTGGTGTAGCGAATTGGATATGGATTGTATTTACGTCAGAAGTATAAGCGGTAACCCCGCATGTCGATCCGTACAATGCTTTCGATGGTATTGACATAGCTTGGTTCAGATTACTTAGCACGATATCATGGCGTCACTTGATTGTCATATGCAGGGACTAGTGGTGCTAGCCTAATGCGAGATGACCATCGTGAGTTCTACTGAGCGGTGATGGGATGGTATGCTCGAACTAGGTATTACTGATAAGTATACCAGTCTCGGCAGAAAAAGATGGATATAGTGAAATTCAACAGACTGTGGTTCGATTCGTCGACTGTATAGCAGATGATGTGGCCTGGATGTCGAAAATAGTTTCAAGTCTCCAGCAAAATTTCATGATACCACGACGATTTCCAGCCCCATCTAAAAGCTCCACGTCCGACCTCTACTTCTTCTTCGAGCCTCTGCCGCCTCTCGCACTCTTCTTCTTTCCCTTCGCGATATCGGCACCCCGGCGGCCACCAGCAATCATGACTCGTACCTTGCTAACAGGCACGACGCCCACGACCTCTGTCTCTTTCCACCCTCGGATCAGCTCAATCTCCTTGGGCCAGATACGCTCGACGTCCTGACTGTTCTTGTCGATTATCTTCGCGTCCTTTCCGGCATGATCCCAGATAGAGAGGACCTCTTTGACGGCTTTACCTCGTTTGGTGGAGCCAGGCTGGATCTTGGCTTTGTATTTGTAGGTGGAAAGAGCAGACCAGGGAGCACATACGGGAATGGCGGTGAGCAATTCGTCATTTGGTAATGGTCGGCCTGTGAATGCGTCGAGGTTCTGCAAGTTCGTCTTGAGGACTTCATCGCCCTCGTCGTCTTCTTCGGCGTTCTCCAAGGCGCGTAGACGAGCTTCTTCGGCAGCCTTGCCTGCGGCTTGCGCACGTAAATGTTGGTCTCGACGGCGTTGCTTGTCAGCCAGCGCCTGCTCTTCTTTCTGACGCTTTTCTTGAGCGGCAGCCTCCGCAGCCTGCTGCCCAGACTTGGAACCCAAGAGACGCATTGCTAACTCACGGTCCTCCTCGTCCTGTGCAGCGTACTTTGCGGCCTGCTTCTTTGCTTTCGCACGTTTGCCTCGGGGCAAGGGAGCATTCTTTGGTTTCGTACTCTGCGTTGTTACGGTACCGGGTGCCCTCGGAGGGCTCTTTGCGTTGCCTTCTTCATCTGAAGAATCCTCTTCTTGGCCAGCACCGTCAGCTGTAGGCCCAGCGTCAGACGGAACTTGGGGTAAGTCTTGGAGTTGACCTTTCCTTGCTAGGCGACGTTCTCGTGCAGATAGTTGTCGCTTTCCAGTAGATTTCACAGTCTGTTCGGTATCTGCTACCGAGCCTGCGTCTTCTTGGGGTTCTTTATTCACAGCAGAACCATTCTTGCCGCCAGACATGGCATACTCGTCGCCATCCTTGGCGGTGGCTAGCTCATCTTCCTCGTCTGAGTCGTCTCTCGCATCTGCAGTCCTAGACTGGAGAGGATTGCTCCTAGGCGCTGCGGCTTCAGATTCAGCGTCGCTCTCTTCAGTCTGTTCCATCTTTGCATCAGGGAAGTCGTCTTCCGAATCTGAGTTAATCTTTGCGTCTGGAAAGTCATCCTCGTCATCACTGTTGTCAGTCTTGGACGCGTCTGCAGCTTTCGAATCATTCGCGGGCTCATCGACCATCTCCGCGGCAGAAACTGCTGTCTCTTGCACGCGATGTTTGTGGTGGTTGGCCTTGCTGGAATCGCTGATCTCGAACATGACAGCAAGACCTACGACCAGCTGAGCTGGTGGTAGGAATTCCTTCTTGCCCTTGACGTTGAACATACCGGCCGGGAGGAACTCGCCCGTCTGTCCAGTCTTGCTGACCTGATCGCTACGAACCCACCAAGCTGACATGACAGCCTTTGAGTCCCATGCATCAGATGTACAAATGCAGAGGTTGCCGGCTTGCGATAGTGTCGAAGGAGGGATGGGGGCATCTGGAGTATCTGGCTTGTTCTTGATGATCATTGGCATCGCTCCTTTGATATCGGCATGAACGTATACATCTCCTTTTCGTAAGAAGCGTCGGTAGATAATTTCGTTCTGCTGAGCATCCTTTCCTCCGAGGACCAAGTAGCCATCCGAAGAGATGAAGTATATGTATTTCTCGAACCACTGCTGCTTGCGCACTGGTCTTAGTACCTCTTTCTCTTGTTTCAAACCCTTCTTCAGGTCCTCTGCAACTTTCTTCTCATGGCTCTTCAACGCTCTGGTCGATGCTTGCAGGGTGCGATCTTCTTTGTCGGCAGCTGTCTTCTTCTGATCAAAGTATTCGGTCGAGTTCGCCCATGCACTCAGAGCTAGGTCGATATCGATAGCCAGTTGAGGCCGAGTGGACACGGCCGGGGTAGGAGCCTTTTTCTTAGGCTTATCATCCTCGTCTTCTGTATCCTCACTGACAGAGCTTGTCTCGTTACCCTCGTCTTCATCGTCTTGACCCTCCTCCCAGTTAGTCTCGTCGAGTAGCAGCGTGACAGTGTTCTCGTGCAACTTGAGCGGTAACTTGATGAGTTGCGCGACCGCATTTCCAGAGTTTTGCTCACGCTCAATCAAGCGCGCAATATCGACCCAATCCATGCCTTGTCTGATCAATCCGTTGACAGCCTCGGTAGCCTCGGTAACACGATGCACGTTTGCCAATATCGCCTCTGCCTTCCGGAAGTTGAGATCTTGCACTTGCTGCAATCCACCGATTCGATCTTCATGCTCCTTGCGTGCCTTCTCTAGCTTCTTCTTGGCCTGTTGTTCGCGTTCTGTCAACTTGGACTCGAGCTTTTGTCCTTCTATCGAGGAGAAAAACTCGTCTACCGCCTTGTTGAAACCATCAAACTCCAAGAATGTATAGTCGGAGTTTTCAAATTGGTGCGGACGGAAGGGATGGAAATCGTCGTAGAGAAGTTTGGACTTCTCAGAAGCCTCGTCATCGGCCGTAGATGCGGATGGGTTTGGCTTGGCTAGAATGTAGCCCTTGATCTGATCTGGCGTCGAGACCTCGTCGGTGATGTTCCTTGCATTCTGTAGGATCTCTACGAGACTGCCTAGGAGATTGTCATCAGCGAGTACCTCCTCAGGCTTGAGAGTCGAATCGAAGTTTGCGATATGCAGCGCATGGTCTACTAGCAAAGGAGGACATTCGGTAATGGAAACGGCCAGCGCCTTCCTCAAAGAGTCCTTGCCTGCTTTTTTCGCCTTTTTCCCTGTCGCTGCAGGCTGATCCTGTTGTTTATCAACCGCCTTCTGCAACCCTTGGCGCACGCGTTCCTTTGTAAGCTCCGGGGCACCGCCGTAGTTCTGCCGTAGGGTCAAGTTGTACTTTAGACCGACCCTCAGTCTCTCATGTTCCTCGCCTTCGTCTACGTTGCGCAAAAGAGACAAGACGTTCAAGTCGGCATCTGTCAGCACGATGTTGCCGCCAGCGTAGAACTCCAAGTACAGCCTGTATAAGCCATCGGAGAATTGGAACTCGAGAATGCGGTCGGTACCAATCTGGCTGATTGAGGTGATCCGCCTTGTTTTCAGGTATTTGCGCAGCTTTGCGACAAAGCTGGAAGGCGCGGCGGCTGTAGTTCGCGCATATTCGGTCAAGTGGCAGCGAAAGCCAGAATCGATAAGTAGCTGTTCGCGGTGGTCGGGCTTGTGGAATTTGATGAGGAAGATTCTCTGTTTGAGTGTCAGTAAGAAGGCTAGGCTGCATGGATAGTAAGTAGTTGGATGCATACAGAGCTTAGGTCATAGACGTTGGTGACTCGCAACGAGGTGAGTTTTGCGGATAGCTCATGGGCTATGACCTGTTCAATTGTTAGCAAGTTGTCATTTGGCCGACAGCATGAAGTTACCCACCTTGACGTCCAAGCTGGAAAACCTCTGCTTCATGGTGATGTCGTGTGCAGAGTCTGTGGTTAGTGGGGTTGGCGACTGTTGGTGGGCTGCGGCGATGACGAAGGTGCGCAAGTAGCGTGATTGCAAGGGTCATGGAAAATGGACGTGGTTCCTGGCCTAACGCTTACTAACCGCCTTGTTCACACGTACGTAGCAGACATGACAGGCGTCTGTTGAAGGCGTCAGTAGAAGCAGGATATATTCATCGGATCTTTATCTTGTGCAGCGCGCTACCAACTCTACCATGCGCCGCGTCCCGGGCCATACCAGTCGCAATGCCAGATGCATCTTATCCCAAACTCCAACAACGCCATGCCCAGCAAACAGAATGCGCTTAGAGACCCTGCCGTATCCTCTCCGCAAGCTGTCTCTTGCCAAACTCCCATGCGTTCAGGAATCCTTGTTCCGAGAGGTCGATGTTCTTCATCGAGGTCATGTCTTGAGCTGGGGGCTTGCTGACGCGCGAGGCAACAATGACCGGGTCCGTTTCGAGGATAATACCGTCGTCTACGAGCTCGTCAACAGCGAGTGACTGCGCGTGTTAGTCAAAGCAAGCTAGGAAAGTTGCGACGGTGGGTACATACCACAAGGTCGTAGTTCTCGATGACGGTGCGCTTGTCGACCGAATTTCTGCTATGCATTAGACGAGTTGGCGAGCCGTGCGTGACAAACTTACTTTAGGAGGATGTTGAGCGAGTCTCTCAATGCCAGGACGACACTAGACATGTGTTAGCTCGAGGTCGAGTACCCCAGGCTGCGCTGCGGCCGTACCTGTATAGCAGAACCTCGTTCTCTTCGGCGCTTCCAACCACATAGAGCATCACGTCCGACTCCATCTTGAAGACAATGACCTTGCCGTCATACAATATAATGTCTGTCGTCTGCTTGGCCGTCTTCTCTGTGCAACGTGTCAGACGAATGGGCGGGTAGCTTTACACGGAAACGGTCTACACACCCAACAGTCCCTTTTCAAAAGCCTTCTGGTCCTTGACCGTCTTGTATGCAATCTGGCCAGGGTAGTCATTCTGGTGCCCGGCCGGCGGGTGTGGGTTCGAGTAGTACTTGGTGAGGATGCGGGAGCCGTCGTCGATGGCGAGGACCAGGATCGCCTGGACGCTGAAGAGGGAAAGAGGGCGCGACATGGTGGAGCACGTGTATAATCGTCTATGCAGGCGTCAATGGGGTCAGCTCTGGTGTCGACGCGGTGGGGGGTTTTGGTTGATAGGTGTCTGCTTGCGGAGAAGCGGCCAATCACGGAGGTCGTGCGCCCTGGGCTTTAGCGCGTCGTCTGAACTTTTGAGAAGATGCGACGACCATGGGCGGGCGCATAACATCCGTCCAAGTCAGTACACCGCGAATATGCACAAAGTATCGCGAACCTCACTCGCTTCCCTGGTCTGTCCATCGGCCCCGTTTCTTGCGCCTCGTCTTCTTCGCACTGCGGCACCCGCTGCTGTGACATTGGCACAATGCCCGCCATCTGCACGCCCTCAGAGGGCGACGTACGCAACGGCAAGGGAGGGGAAAGGCAGTGCGGGAAAGACAGGCCCCAAGGAAGGCAAAGGACTCATCAGAAAGATTGATCCCAAAAAGGGAAAATTGAAGCCTTTTCCTCTTCGTTCTCCTCGTCTGGACCCGGAAGAATATGAAGTAAGACCGACCATCTCTTCCACGGACTGTGCTCACAACACCAGACAGTCCGCCTAGTCAAGAAGTTCCGAGAAGCCTGCGATGTCCGAAATGTCCAGCTTGTCATGGAACTCTACCCCACGCTACTCGCGGCAAAAGTCTTGAATAGCTACGACACGCGACGCATCACCCAAGTCCTTCACGTGCGCATACGCAACGAGCACAGTCCGAGCAAGCGAGACGAACTCTTTCCTTTCGTCCAGCAGTTGGTGAGCCATCTACGTCAAGGAACAGTCGAGCCGCACCCCTTCGCATTCGTCCATCTGTTCGGTATCTACAAGGACGCCAAGCGCTTCGATGAGGGGTATGCACTCTGGGAATGGCTGGTCCAACAAGACGAGCGCTACGTGTCGCAGGCTGTCTATGGCGCTGCAATCGAACTCATGGCATATGGAAGACTCAAGCCACTGCCGTTGTTGGAGGATCTGTACAACGACGGACTGAAGCGCTTCCCAGGCACCTTTGCTGAGTATCATCTCTCGCCTGACGCCATCGTGCCCGACCGCACCCAGCTTACTACAATCTCCGGTATTCCTACTCTCCTTCTCCAGGGCATACTCACCGCTCGCATACTGGCTCGTGATTGGAAACGGGCTTATCTGGCGCTGGACACTGCACTCCGTATCTATCCCACACAGACCCCACCCCGCTATTTTGAGCTCTTCATGACCGAGAGGCCTATATCTGAAGGATACACGGCCTTTATGCTAGCTTGCCGTGCTGGTGTCGCTATGAGGCCAACTCACGTTACTGCGCTCATTACCAAGCTGCGAGCTGCCATGGGAGCGTCACAATCTATGGCTGATCGTGTCATGCTGCTCCGAGCCATTGCGAACGCCATGTATGGCTACCTGGAGGCTGGGGAAACTCTCGAAGGCATTCACGTCGGTTCATTCCTCCGTGCTTTTGAACTGTTACTACCAGAACCCATGGGTGGCGAAGATTATGTTGGAGAAGCAGCAGAAATGCGCGACATCCTGGCAGTTACAGCACATGAGATTATGTCGGATTTGATTCAAGCTGGCATGCCGCCCGAGCTTCGATCATTACAGGCTCTCATCTCGATATCGGGTAAACTACGCCTTCCAAGTCTACTGAGTGCCACCCTTCAAGACATTGAAGCGGCAGGTTTTGAGCTTGGGCCTATCGAGAGACGAACGATCATAACATCGGCCGGGTTACTCAAGGACAAAAAGTTACTTGAGCAGTATTGGTTGCTTGTTGTGTCAGATGCAGAGGCGAACAGTGCACAGATACCATTTGAAGATTGGATTACTTTCACCAAGGCATGTAGACGAGCCGATCATAGTGATTACTTCCGAAGTCAGCTTTTGAAGTTGCCGTATGCCATCGACAACAACACTGAGCGCCACATCATTCAACAAATCGACATGCCAGAGACGTCCGCACTCAACCACAGATACCAATACATGAGCGTCAAGGAATTGACAACGGAGCTGGATGCACTCAAGACTCAGATGAAGGACATTGAAACCGTTGTCATGTCCGGACAACCACTCAATCTCCATGCATCCCCACTATACATGCATTTGGATCCCCAACACCCTTCTCTGGGTCGTGAAGAGGATCTACGATCGGTATACAACGAGCTCACTACTGATCCACATCAACCGCCTCCACCACCAGCCACACCTGATTCACCTGTTCAGCCCGCAGTGAGTCCTACCGGCATACCCCTGGATGACCTCCGATTTCAGAATTGGGTCACCGTCCACGAAATGATGGACACAGCTGCCGACTACGAGTCTGATCTTCATTATGCCGTTGACACCGCCATCAAGGCTGGCACCCCGCTAAAAGGCACCCCAGAACTTTTGCGTTTGCGTAAAGAAGCCTCGACACCGCGATCTCGCACCGATCTGAGCATGATAATAAAAGAGCTCAGAGCGAGTCGCCGCGAAGACTTGAAAATGTTCAGAAACGTTGCCTCAGACGACCTTTACAAGATGAAAATCACTAAACACATTGCCAAAGATGAGGGAGAGACCGCCGTAGCGGGCGAAAAGGGAGCGCAAAAGATCAGAAAGTATGTTGGCCTGGAGTCGTATCATGACGCCCCTGCTAGTTTGATACGTCAGGTAAAGGTACCAGACAGGAAGGCCTAGGAAATACTCGAAGAGGGCGGTGCTGCTGAGGATAGTCTGGACCCCAGTGAAAGAGACATAATCCGACCTTTCAAAAGCGATTTGTTCTTCAAACATAATCATTGATCGTTTAAGTAGACATCTGTAAGGTGTAAGTGTTTGCCTTGAGCTGGAAGTCTGCATACACCGTGACTAGATTTCTCTTGTCCGTATAGGAGATCATCCGTAATTATATGTGTATCTATACATTATCCAGTACCCTCTACTAGATCTTGAAGACAAGACACATCGCTATCCACTTCGTACATATTGATGGCAGCAGATCATGCCGCCGAGAATTGTGCCGAAAGTCTCCTATCGCAACTATTTCCATGTTGGTCTGACGTTTACTCATCATCACTCAAGTCTCATTACGTTGCATTCTTTCTTTCATCGGATACAAGGACAACCGAGACGTAAAGGAATAATCATCTTACTGCACCGTGGATCCAGCATTCGCACACTGCGTCTCACCTCATGTCGCCTCACCTTTCTCGGAACGTTTCCACCGGCGGATTTTTCCGCTCGGTATCCGAAGGAACATTTGGTCCGAGGATGGTTGTGCGGCCGTATGACATTGGGTTTATGTTTGGATCACGGCAGACTAGGCCAACTTTTGAGTCATGTTCGCTGACCGGACTATGTTGGCTGATGACGTGGGAGTGGGATGTAAGTACATGATAGCGTGGAGGTACTCAGTGTGGTGAGTGGAGTTAGTACGCTTAACCAAAGTCGCGGTGTGGAGACCACGTGGAGTTGTTTAATCACCGTCATAGGCAGTTTCACCACTTGCAGAATGAGCAGATGTGTAAGTATGAAGATGAGTGGTTGATGCATATCTCATTACCGAATACCAGGACATTGCAAGCCTCGCGGCCATAAAGCCGTCTGCCCAAAAAAAAATTCCAAATCTAAATCCAAAAAATGTAATACAGTCAAGTCAACTCAAAGTTGACGGGGAATACGAAGCCAAAAAATAAAAATAAGACAATGATGTCAAGAAGTGAAGAATGGAGGCACGCAGCGGTCAACGCGCAAAGCAAGAAGCCATGACAATGTACAACCCTGAAAATCTCCAACGCCACATCAAGTAACCAAACCCGCTAAGTGCAAACAAAGTAACGAGAAGAGAAGGCGTTCTTAGTTCGAGCCAGAGCTACCCCTCCGGCTGTCGGCTGGTGTGATGGGAAAGCAGAAGTCGACTGGCGATGGTGGTGGAGCTGGGGTTTCGTTGGCGTCTGAGGAGCGCGAGGTCAAGCCCGAGGATGCTTTGAATGCTGCGCTGACATCGTGGCCAAGTGTTGAGTTGGTGAAGATGGAGAGACGCTGACGAGGGTTAAAAGCGGAGGCTGCGGAGGCGGGCATCTTGATGGTTTGTGTGTGGTGATTGTACTTGACAGTGCGTACTTGATACGTAGTTGACGGTGAGTCTCGTAGATACGAGGAGACTATCTGAAAAGGTGGAGAGTGTCCGGGGTAGTTGACTAAGTAGTTGCAACGGAAGCCGAAAAGATTGTACGGGCCGGAGTTATTGATGCGCTGGTGCGATGCAGGGCAATTCTGATTCTCGGGGAAAGGTGCGGAAGATATGTGATGTGCTGTCTCGGACTTTGACAACAACTAAAACTCGGGCTGACTCGGTAACAAGGCTGAAGTGTGTGTCTAGGGAAGGGGTGAGTCAGATTTAATATCAAGGAAGAATGCGCTGGGGTTGTCGGAACAGGGCTTAGGTGCGGTCGTGCGTTGGCATACAGGGCTACCAGAATTGGCGGAACCCCGGACTTGATGCGCTCGGGTATGGGGAAGAAGGTTGCGTAAGGGGCTGACTTACTTTTGGGATGTGGGTGCCAACGAGCGAGGCGTGTTACACAAGTGTGGTATTGCGAGAGGCTTGTGTGTAAGCTGGACCGAGGTATGCTTCAGTGCAAATGGTATGTTTGAAGAAAACAAAAAGGCTCAAGGTAGAAGTGGTTTTTGAATGTCAAGTAGATGAGGACGTGTGTAAGGAATAAGTATTGAGCGTAGAGCTAGGTCGTACTTTGCGATGCGTGGTAAATGGCGATACCGCGTCGAAGGGGGCGCTTCTCTTATACCACAGTACAAGTGCAGAGTACCGATACGATCGCTATTCACCGCCGAAGAGATAACCCTGACTCGCATCATTAACCAGGGTTGTAACGGAATCTCGGAAGGGCCATACGTTTTGAGCTAAAAGCAAAAGTATAACCAGCAATCAAATGCGCGCGGCCACACGGGGAAGCGGACGGTTGCAACTCCTTGTTGCGCGACCATCGTTGCACCTGGAAGGTGCAAAGTCCACCCCACGCCCTGATCCTGTTCCAGGGTCGCAGAATCAAGGCTGTTCTGGGGCGTCCTGTCATCATTGACGTGTCTGAGATGGTTTTCTCGAAGCGAGGATGCATGCGACAAACAAGGCGCACAAGCCCGTCAGGCCCTTCCGCAGCGTCCCACGCATCCTCTCTACCAGAAGCCTGCTCGTGAGAAAGGATGATACCTATCGCAGACGGCCCGAAGAAGCAAACCAATACAGTACAGTACACCGCGGCGGTCCGCGGGTAGAAGCCGACAAGCGGATGACGTGGGCGAGCAAGACACCACAGTGTCCTTTGGGTGGCTGTCGCAAGCAAGGCATCATAGAAGCCGGACCGACCAAGTCAATTCTCTGACCGCTTCTCCGATGTGCATAGGTATGCATATCCCACGCGAGGCTTGCGGCAGAGCAAGATGGGGTAAGTGGAGCTCCGGGCTGCATTCCCCGGATACCAGCAGGCTGGGATTTGCCCACTCAAAAAAGGAAGACGACGCGTCTGGAACTTTGCCTAAGAAGTTAGCTCCACCTTGATCATCAGCATTCGTGCTACTCCCTTGATGCCCATCCAGGTACCGCCGCATCACTTTTGCAACGGCTTTTTACACTGCCTGTCATCGACTCGTACACCTTGCAGTGCGGACAAACCCGGATAGGCAACCCGCGTTGGGTTGCGACACGGGAATAGTTCCTGCGACGTTTGCCCAGGTTGGAATGACACTTCCTGCAATAAGGCTTCGAGAACACTGCTGGAAGGGCGCTCGAGCCGACCTGTGTCACGGCCAAGGCATTACTGACGTTGCTGTCATCGTTCCGCCCCTTTTCTACCGGTTGAAATTACGGCAGAAGAGTGACATCTCAGACCTCCTTCCGCCCTGCGTTTTGGCCGCTCTGGCGTGGCTGATCCAAGTTGTTCTCGCCATCGTCGAGCAAGCGCAGATCGAAGCGTTCGGCGCCGCAAACACACTTGTTACAGCATTATGCCGGTCGCGATCAGATCTCGATGCGCGACGCAGGCAGCAAAACTCTTCACCTCCGCGCCATCCGAACGATAATTCCATGTTGTCCTTGAAGATAGCGAACGAATTCTGTTACCGGTCGACTACTCGTGGCGCAAACCTTCCCCCGTTACTTTTGCTAAGCGATAGCCAGAGCCAAGCTCACCTGTCATCACATCATCTCATTGAGACGTCGAATGGGAAGCTATGGGGTCGCACGTTAGACGCGAGCTAAACGTAACCTCAACGTCGTTTCATCTTTGGTAAGACGACGTAGCCTTCTACCTAGTAAACTCCGACGCCTTTCTCCCAAGCCTTATCCACGCAACCCGCTTTCCCCGGACTGGCGTATAGCCTGATCCCCGCCCTTGCGTTAGGGTTGCTGTCGGAACAAACATCCCCCCAACCATAACGTGTAACGTTATTCACCTCTACCGCGGGGCGTAAGTTGTATGATGTGGCGCGGTGGTCCGCCTTCGTAAATTCGTGTCGCATCGGAATCCGGGTTGTGCCGTTAGCGAGACGGTGATTTCTAGGCGCTGGTGTCGCTTTCCGATCGTCTGCGGCCTTCCGACGACAATCTGCGCGTTATCTGACCGACTCTTGACAGGCTTTCACCGCAACTTGGCGATGTAGCGAAGAAAAATTGAGTATAAGCGGGGAAGGTTGCAGTAAGGCTTTGAGGAGAAAGAGGGGGAGCTTCGCGTCTCTGGGCGTGCCTGCTTCGTATGGGTTATGGCAACTGTAAAAAGCGACAACTACTACCACCACCATGTGTGACCTCCTAGACGCACTGAGACATCAATTGCAAAACGCTGAAAGTGAACGGCTGTCATTCTTTTGTCTCGACAGAAGACATCAGGTAAGCATATGTTGCTTTGCGCGATTGGCTTAGCAATATTTTCTCCGTTGCTGATACAAGCTCATCCATTTTTGTATGATGACGGACTCCGTGACGTTGTCTGCAGCGGCATGAGGGCGCTCGCCTGACGCCTGTTGCTGTCGCAGGCTGCGAGAATTTCCTCTCACCAGCGATCCATCATGAAATCCCACCACTGCAGCCTACAGACATTCTCCCTTGGTGGTGCATACAGTTACGCAATGTTTCCTCAACACCCCTAACCTTGTGCCCCTCATTGTCCCAAACATTGTGTTGTTATCGCCAATCGACACATGCATGGAATCGGTCGATCAGCAGTGACAATGGCTAGAATCACTCAAATCACTACCTGAGCTCAAGTAGCCGAGTCATTGCACTAGGCATTGCTTAGAGGAACAAGATTCGGAGGACTTACGTTCACACGAGCAGCCATCTTTGACTACTTCGAGCACGTACACCATTATTTCGGCTGTCCTGAAGACGACTCAGCTTGGCCAACGCTTACTATTAGCCATCGTCCGGATATCGACCAGTCCATTCTCAATGCTTGTCTGCATCACAGGTACTCTCATGGCCTTGCGCAATACGCTATTCCCCATTTCAATCTCAAAGATCTAACTACGTCCAAATCTACTACTCATTTTTCTGAATGCTCGTGTTCAACATTCAACAAGTAAATTAGCTTTTCTCAACTACGAGTTGGCGCCCTTGATACACCTGCGGCCAGCGTTCATCAAGAATACGGAATACGCTATGGGCCTCGTCAGTGAAAAGTATGGTCAGATATTAGAGTGGGACACGGAAGAACAAACTGTGCCAAGCATCTCCGAGCTAAATAGGCTCTCTTTGCTGTATAAGACCAACCTAGATTCGGTAAGTTGGGCACTAAAGAAGTGCTCCCGGTGAACTTCTTCGAATCGCTTGTTGAGACATGGTCCGTCCTAGAATTCTTCCAGTTGGATATCATGCAGGAGCTAAAGACAGTCCGGTCTTCATCGCTAGGGATCTATGCCTGCTTCGCTCAAGAGTGCGATCGCAGTGTCGAGGATGATGTGGTCGGCATCAAGTTTAATGGTAAGCGTGGTCGCAAGCGGGACAAAGAACTGGAGCATGTCTTCACTCTATTCAAATATCTCTAGTAACTACCTGTCAGGCAGACGATAAAGACACACACATTGGTGGAGACACTTGACAATCTACTACAGACCAATGAACGAGCAAGCAACTTAAAATCCCCATTCTCAGCCTCACTTCTTTCGAAATTGTCCATAGTGTCGGAAAGTCTTCGCTAACTCAGCTTCTTCCTACCCTAGGCAAAACGAGTCCAGTGTTAAGTCAAGCACCAACAGACAGAGCTGGTCACAAGCTATGCTATCAATCTCTCGCAGTGTAACTCGACTGCTAACACAACTCTCGAGAGCACCAACCTCACTGATCTGGGGAAACCAGACGCGAAGTTTTGCTGTCCAGTCAACAAGCATCGAAGCCCGAAAAATCTCGAAATTCTCAGAAACGTAGAAGCCGCTTCGGGTACATCCTGGTATGCTGTAGATGGCTGCTCAAGAGACTGCACTGGTACTACACCCCACGATATCGTCTGCGGTATCATCAAGGACGTACACTACAGCGTGGACCACTTTGGGCCGAGCTTGATAAGCCTTCTGAATGCTATACCCCAGTCGATTACATTTGCGTCACTATCCCCACTGACCTCCATGATCCCCCCAAGCAGATCACTGACAAGTTCAATAGAATCAGCTTGAGTGGTACCAAGAAAGCTAGTTCTCACGATCTCGCAGCTCTGCATGACAACCATGATCAAGACAACGATGCCGATGAACAGTGTACTAGCACCTTTCATATGGATTCGGTGTTTCGGTCGGCACCTCGCAAGGACGTATGACTAGCAGGACGAGGTGTTCCAGCTCACCTAAAGCCGTCTTGTGTATGGCAGTCTCGAGATGTTCGCTATGTACACTCATCCTGGCATGACATTGTCCATGTAAGGCGTTTGGGTGTTTGTCAAGATTGATTTGGTCTTCCAGAAGATTCAGTCTACAGTGATGGATAAGCCGGCCCATCGGCGGCCCAGAATTATGAGGCTGGCGTCATACTAGAGGTCATTTAGTTATTGATGCTCATGTATCAATACTAAACCTGAGTAATCCAGTTTCCTGTTAGAGGAACTTTATTTCTCTCGTAGTGTGGTCCTTCTTCTACAACCAGACAGTTTGCGCATACTGTGATGAATGTGGGAGCGCTAACGACCGTTGTTTTGCTCTCGCAAAGCACATATAGTAATTACAGTACTACAAGAAAGACTTAACTTTTTTTGTGATTCTTCTTCGTAAGGTTGAAGTACGTGTCATATGCATTTATCACCTGCTTCTATATAACATCTCGTTGCTCCCTTTCAAGGACTTTTCGTGTTACGATCGTATCTCACATTCATTAGTCGATCACCTGTCCCCACGCGAAGCGCCTTCCGGTTTAGGCACTAGCGTTGACATCGACTTCGGGATTTGTACATTGCGGCCTAGATGTCATCATACATCAACGAAAGCTGCATTCTCACCGGATTGTTGTACCTAGTGCCAGACCTTCGTGATAATATCAGTTGGGCTTATGTTAGCTAGCGGACGTTGTATCTCTCTGAGGGACTGTCAGGCGTAACCAGGCTGTGCATGCAGACCGTAATCGTTGCGTGGCCAGCAACCAGTATGGTGTCCAGCCTTACAACACTAGAGCTGCTTGCCTGAAACCGGTGAGCCTCCTGTATTATCTATTTCAGCATTCATGTACCACCGGTAAGATCTAGCCAGACCACCTCAAGACTTGCCTGGGAGCCGCGTCCCGCGATTAATTGTGCGGACAACATGTCGCGATAAAACACTAATTCGTCACCAGAGCTGCGCGAACGTTATTCGTGGATATCGCTTCCTGATAGCGAATAATTTGACGATGACATGCGACATGAGCAAAGTATGCAAAGCAGCAGCGTTGGCAGCGTGTCCAGGCCTAAGTCACGAATACTGGGGCAGTATGAGCCCGTATCGCAAATCGACACATCTCCCCATGCTATACACGAGGAAGAAACACTCTTGGACACTAGCTATGATCGCACAGGCCCACCAGGCACTCCACTGAATGCGGTAGATGAATGCGACTCGCTTGATCAGCAGTGCATAAGAACTCCGGACAACACCTAAAAGCGTGAACCTTGTGCGGAATACTTCTATCTACTAAGCTAGACATTGGCTGACTATCTGATGGCAGATTACCAAGATCAAAATTTGCAGAAATTTACTGAATGGCTACCCTACACCCTGCGGCGCCCTCACCTGATCACCCTAGGTACAGTGTCACTCGTACTGTCTATCGTCTTGGCAACACTCTGCTGGCAGTCCTATAACAATCATGGACTTAAAGATGATGTTGGGTCCACGGGACTGTGCTTTGGGTGGAGGTACACGCCCACCATCGTTGCAGTCTTCTTCACGCAGGCTGTTGTCCAGATTGCCGAGGACGTAAAAAGAACAGAAGCGTACGCGCGCATGGCGAGCTCGGAGACCGTCAAAGCAAAGTTCACCATATTGTACTCGCCCAGGGTGTGGTGGAAGAGCATCTTCATAGGGTTTTCCCGAAAGCGGAGTGGCGGATACAGAGGATGGGCCCTGGCCTTGTCTTCGCTTGCAGCTGGCGTCAGCATACTCGGCATCTCAACCTTCTCGTCGCCCTATTAATTGCAAAGGATGTTTTCACAAAGGAGAGTGTGCAACTACAACGATACGCAGCTGGTCAGACAACGGGGAAAGACTTATCACCTATTCAACTTGTACCCTGAAGAGATACTTACTCCCGCACTATCAGTGGATATCCTTTCAACGTCTCCACATTGATGTGGATGTTCGACTCATATCTCATTGTGCCCTTCGGCGCATCTAACAGCGGCATCGATCGCGTATCACTCGAGAACGGTATCTGGCAAGCAGAGACTGAGGTGTTCCATTTAGACTATCATTGTACACCAATGGTTCTATCTGATAAGAGAATTCTAGATATCAGTTACACAGCCGCGAACGTCTCACAGTCAAACGATGCGTGCCCGAACGATGTTTGTACCGTCAAGTCCAAAGGATTGCAGATTCGATCGCAGGACGGTTGTGAGGTTCGGATTCAAGGACCCATCGATGTCTAGGATGGGCATTAGTGATGACGGGTGAGTTCTTTCAGAGCGATACCTTTTCAACGGATGGTGGCCTACTCTGGACAAACATGTCCTCTGACTACGTGTCATGGCGAACTCTTGTTGATGAGTACGGCCAGACGCCGGAAATTCTCGCTAGTGGGAACATGGTCCTCTAACAATGGTCTCGCACTTTCATACATAGCTTGTCTGAGCAATGCGTGGGGCTTGATCTGCTTCTTGTATCGCCGCCATGGATCGACTATACCGAAGGTGAACTAGCCTCATGGGAAAATCTGACGGTACGATCTGCTGTATGCACTCCGCAATACAACGCAGCTGCCATGCCAGTCACCGTATCGACTGGCGGAGCCGGAACGTCCATCTCCTTTGACGTTTCTGAGTTCGAGCGACGTAGCCAGTCCGTACCGAAAAAAGCTATTGATTTTGCCTTATTGGACGATATTTCCTTTCACAACAGCAATTGGGCCAAGTACATTACCTTACCGCTTACTGTCCATGGCGATTTTGAGGAGATATCCACACTTCTTGTAGACAAGTTCGGCCAGAACGTTTCCAGCATGCTAGAGAGTGCACCTGGTAGTGTTACACACGTGAGGGGAAGGATTTTGGTTGTTACTGAGATTGGGATAACGCTATCCGTGCTCTTCCTGCTCTTGGCATGCTATCTAACAAGCATGATATGTAGCTTATCGGTCAGACGACGACCGCTAGGCCTCAGATCGGATCCTGCGGCTATCATTGGGACAGCTTCACTCCTCAAAATCGATTCACCTCCTATGGCTACATTACAAACACTAGCTGGACATAGCCGACCACACATATAAGAGACGATTGAATCACGAACTTACAATTTGCGAGGAAGCATTCTTTCGGAGGGTACATCGAAATGTGAGGCAGTCAAAGCTGAAGGGTCAGACTTACTTGCTAGGAAGAAGGAACTGTCCCCAGGCTCTCCAAAATCTAAAGCCAGCATTGGAAACGACTGGAGGCCCTCAATGCTCCACAAAAAGTGGCTCTTCGCATTGTTAGCTTATCTTTTTGCTACTACAGTAGCCATTTTGATTCTTCGCGGATATGCACGAGAGAAAAAGCTCTCCCGTACTGCATTCACCTTCGAAGTCGATGTGGGCCATTTCAACACAACTTTCTCGCCTCACTCCCTTGTAGCTACACTGATCGCAGTGGGAATTGGTCTGAGCTGGGATGGCGTTGACAAGCCTATGCGGGGTTTGCAGCCATATCTCTCTATGTCGCGAAACGCAATGGCTCCCAAACGGGGAGCATCTTTGACGTACCAATCTTCGTACTGGGTATGGGCCACTGTGAAAGCAGCGCTACGCAAACATTGGATCCTATGTCTTGTTGCTGCCGGAACAACTCGGTCACAAATTCGTAAGTAATTTCTTGCTTCAATAAAGACATGTAGCTGATTGAACAGTCACTATATCTATGGCTGCTGTTTTTGAGAGGCAGGCAGTCACACAAGAGCAGCCAATGATAGATGCAGATAACACCATCACAGCACCGTTTTCGCTACGGCAAGAACCTTTAAACTTTTATCAAAGCGACGATGGCACACGTGAACGTCATTTCGAGATAACTGAATCCTTGTTGGAAGCGTCAAAGATTCAGTGGTTATATAATGCGCTAGACGAGATCATTCTCGACCCACCACAACTACCATGGACGAAAGATGAATGGGTTTTCACTCCCCTCGATATAGATCCGTTACCAAACGTCACAATGTCTTCGAAGGCGACCTTTGAAGATGAGAACCATTCGAATTCAGATCCCTGAGTTCACCCGCCAACATCTCTTCTATTACATCTGCACTTCGGAGTCCGTTGGAATGTTCTCCGATCGTCGTGCCAAACTCCAGCTGGCTCAACCGAGCCGCAGACGTTTACCCAGACCGGACGAACGAGACTTTACCAGGGTTTGCTCTGCCGACTACCCTTTTCAACGGCGAGTTGTACAATGCATCTGTCTTTTCAATTCCAAGACGATTGTCATGCTGTGCGAATGGCACAGATCCGGGTGGGCAAGCTGTTGTTGCATACTGGACTAGCAACAGCTCAATGCTTGAACCAGAAGGCCCTGCTGATTTGTCTCAGAATTGCACTACAACTGTGACTGAAAACACGACTGAAACTTGCTGTGAATCTTTCTCACATCCCAGTAGCGGAACTGAGAACGTAGTTGTCCATGGTTCTTGGTATCGTAATTTTATCATAAAATGGATTGTTGGACCGGGAGTGACGGCAGAAATCTCTGGAGCCGAACTCAACACAACTTACCAGAATAATGGCGACACGTTTGGAAATGCAAGTGAGGAGCTTCTCTACTTCACAGAGGAACCTACGATGTCTATAATGAACTGTGGGCCGATAATCGAGGTCGCGAATGCTATCGTTATCGTAGCCAGGAGCTCCGGAAACGTCCCGGACTTCGTCTTGTTATCTGATACTCAGCCTGATCAGAATGCATGGGAGTACGCCTGGGATATTATGTATCCTGAACCAACACGAAACGATGCTGATGGAAATGTTAGGTGAGCACTTTAGCTTTTGGTTTACCACATCGCGCTCATGAGTTATGGATGGAAAGCTGACCATTTCCTTTACCAGTTACGGTCATTTTTTCATGACCCAGCTTCTCACAGCTCCGTATGTCATCGCTCCAAGAAGGGCACACTCTTGGCTCTCATACAACAAGAGCATTGGGGAAACAGAAAGCGAGCGCTTCAACATCCGCGACCGCGACCGCGGTCTCAATGTCGACTTCATGTCCTACGCAAACTGGCACCTTGCCAACAAGAACTCAGATGCACTGCTAAACACAACCACACTATTCTGGCACTCCGAAAAGACCTTGTAGACCTTCTTCAAGCACTCTGCTCACTCTGGATCATCGCAACTTGGTGGTTACCGTTCAGCTGATGATTCTGGGAGAGCGGTTTATAAGAATGCCCTTGACTGGCAAGATGGTGTTATTAACGCAACGTTCACGGAACGTTTCGAAGTCCTGGTCATGAATGAGGTTGCTACCTGGATCTCTCTGGTCATTCTCATTTTGCTCATAATCATCCTGATTGTTCTCATCGTGAGCTTGCAGGTCGTGTATCCAAGCTCATCTCTGCAGCACCCTATAGAGTGCTTGGCAGACGTACTTACCATGGTTGCTGGGAGCGATGGTCTAATTAGTCTAATCGAAGAGCAGGGCGTTGAAGGTTTCGCCAACAGTGACAAAATGACGAGATTAGGTTGGTTCAAGGATCGGAAGGGAGATGTCAGATGGGGTGTTGAGCTCGTAGATGCGGAGGGTATCGAATGGGTTGATGAGCCTGAGGCAGCTAGGCCGGATGAAGTTGGCGATGAAGAGTCATCGGTTGGAAGCAGAGGAGTGGCTGATACGAACAGCACACTTCTGGAAGGTGAGCGGAGGCCGCTTTCTCCGCAATATTCCGCTCAAGAGCAAGAAGCAGAATCGATGTTGGAACAGCAGAGCCACTCAACGTAGTGATGGTACCCCGGGTTTTGAAGAGAGAAGACCGTCAGGCATATGTCACTGACATGTCATCGGATAAATTCAATGGTTGCTTCACTTTTTATTTTCCTACTAAGCTGGCCATGTACATCTCATTTCAAATCTCGACACGTAGGCAACCCACCATGCATTCACTCGCCCAACACAAGTAAGGCAAGTGAGGCGGGTATATCATACCTATGTAAATATGACTAGTAATGCCGGAAATCTCCGTCCAAACAGACACCACCAATACGTCTAGTACCGGCACTTCCCCGTTTCTTACAGTACCGAAACAATGATCTGGAACACTGGGAAAAAGAACAACGTGTGGGACATGTCGGAGCATTGTGGGCCGAATTGGGATGGGGTGAGCGTGGGCTGGTTGCATAGGCGGTACGAAAAAGCAGATATGCAAGCCGAGGTCAGTGGCATCATTACGCATCACATTTGCGGTGAACCAACACAGGGTACACTGATTACTAGAGGGTGGAAGAGATATGATTGTAATCCCAAGTGATGCTTACAGGCTAGCTGCAGTATCCTCTAGATCAGTTCTATCCATCAGTCCCACTCAGCTATATAAAGAAAGAAATGGAAAACATTCAGAGCGCTGCGTAGTTCATGATCCATACAACCATCATCATAAGCGTCGTAGCCGTTGCCAACACATCGACCTTTGCTTACTTTTTGCGACAAGCGAAAAAAAGAAATCCCACACATTTCTGCTGCCACGTAGATCCAGCCACAACAAGTGATAGAGAAAAAAGGGTATTACATCCGCCAAACAAAAAGGTCCGAAAAGCCTCCGTGAGGAGCTGGTATAGTGCAGGGAAAGAAAAAAGAAGGGGGGTGGTGGCGGTGTGGGGAACGCTCAAAAAAGGCGCGACAAAAGGTAGGAAGAAGATAACCGTACAATCTGTGATCGATCCAAAGGTCCAGATGGCGCGACCGCCCTTACGCATTATATGTTGGTGTGCGTGAGCGTTCCAGTCTAGCAAACAATAACAATGTAACCTGCACTGTCGCAAGGAACACAGCAAACATACAAACATGCAGCGCGAGTGGGTAACCGTACCAAAATCGAAAGCGCGATGAAGAAACCGATCCGAACTTTTTTGTTGAGCAGGTCTGCCGCAGAAGGCTGTCCACGCTCGTGATAAGCTTTTGGTCTGAAAATCATCCACCCAACGAAGGAAATAAGATCGAATGAAAATTGCCGGTCAGACAAGGATAAGTTAGGAACAGGCGTGTAATATGTGGAGGAAAGGCCGAAATCTGTCTACGCATCTTTGTGGTGTGGGCGAATGCCAGAGGTTCGAAGATTCTCAGTTAACATAATGGGAATTGGCGCGGCGACGCAGTGGTCGCTGCACCTCAATCCTATCGTCTTGAGAATCTCGTACTACTCGGCTTTCGCGTCTACTACGGTGGCTGCGTATACTGCCTTCGTTCATCTCCTCTGCTTGTCTCCGCGTGACCAATGCCTTCCTGTCACCTGCATTGCTGCCTTTTTCGCTGCCACCGTCAGGATTTCCGCTAATGACGAGTTCTGCCATGCCGTCTTCGCCTGGGATGAGTCGCATGGTGCGACCCTCCATGTCGCCGTTGAACTGCAGGCTGAGTGGGGCATTCGCGTCTACTCTGAGGCGAATCTCGTTGTTGCCGTTGCTGGTGACGGCCGTGTGCCTGTCACTTCCAGAGGAGCCAGAATGAGAGGGAATTGACGGTACCCTAGAAGCTCTCTTTGCGGCACTGTGGATGTGGTCGTTCAACGGAGCATCAGTACCGCGTTGGCTGTTGATGTATTCCAACGCTTTCATCTCATCTCGCCTGGTCTTCTGTGGGGCACGCTCTTTGACCTTGCGACCTTCCGCATCAGTAGGACGGCGGCGGCGAGGAGGAGCTGGAGCTTCGGGGATGGGAGCCTCGATTTCAGACTCATACTCGTCGCTACTGTCGAACGCGGCGGGAGGTTGGTAATAGACCTTTGAGTTACGCTTTTCACGTTTGCGCTCCTGCTCAGCCTGATATCGCGCCTCGGCCTTCTCGGCCTCACGTCTATCAGCCTCGCGTCTAGCCCTAGCATCAGCTTTAGCGTTGGCTTCAGCTTCGAGGCGTTCATATTCCCTGGCCTCAGCATGTCTGTCGTTATAAGACTTCCCGTAATGAGCTGATCGACGCCGCTCAGCCTTAGTGCTGTCGTGCACATAGACCAGACCACCTCTGGCGGGATATTCGGTTTGAATTTCACGCGGTGGAGGAGGAGGTCGGCTGACTGACTGTCGGCGAGACGGTTCGTTTGTGCTCTTGGTAGTACGGTGACGGCTGGTAGGGGGGTCGTGGTTAACAACAACAGGCTGGGACTTGCGGCGGTCAGCGCGAACGTGCTCGAGATCCGAGGTGGTGTAGGCGTGGGAGATTTGTGGACGCTGCAGCTTCTTGCTCTTGCTCTTAGGCTTCGCTTTGGACTTGGTCCGCTCGAGCTTTTGGGGAGGAGGCGGCATGAGCGCACGCTGGGCGTAGTGATCGTCGGGATGGGGCTCGGCTTCATAGTCGTCGTCTTCGTCAGATGATGCAGAATCAGATTCGCTGTAACTCTCGTAGGCCTCGCCCTGGAGCTGCTTCTGGGGTGGAAACCTGGGCTGTGTGGCGCTCTGAGGCTGGCCGCGCCTTGCCGAATACTGATCACGCGAACCTTGGTCGACGACAGGGGGTGGTATAGGTCCAGTGCGTGCAATATTGGTCGAATTGCGGTGCGTCATGCCTGGCCTCTGCATGCCGTCGTAAGACGGGGCCATCCCGTAGCCGTATTGAGGGTGGTATACAGGTGCCGCTGCATATGGTCCGGATGGGGGGCCCATCTGGCCTGAATAGCTTTGACGGTAAAGCGCAGACTGGGAAAGGGGCGGGCCATGATCTTGCGGGTGGCCTGCATATCCTCCAGGCGCTCCCTGAGTCCAGTGGTACTGAGGCCCAGGCTCACCGCTGTAGCTGACGGGTCGAGACACAGAGGGACGACGGGGACGTGTCGTGGCTGGCTGGATAACGGCACCAGCGTGTGAGTAGTAGGACTGGCGCTGGTCCGGGTAGTACGGGGAGGGGGTGGGATCAGAACGCATTGAGCGGGTGTCTTCCTGGGAAGGGCGATGCACGTCGCGAGCGGATTGAGATGGGTGAATCTCAGGGCGGATGTTATGACGACGGGGAGCTGGGGCAGGCGCGTTGGGGTCGTACTTGGTGCGCCTGGGGTCGGCACATTCCGGTTCGACTCTGCTATCACGACGATCTCTGTGGTCCGGGCGAGGATCCTGGGTAACGGTCGGCCGGCGTTCACGTTGCTGGATGATGGCTGGGGGCTTGGACGAGGTCGAGGCAGTGCGGGAGATTGACTTGGGTCGGGACGAAGCCTTGGAGGAAGGCTTGGTCGACTCTGAGACGGTAGGACGTCGGCGGATCTTGGGAGCCTCTTGCTGAGGAGGGACTGGGGCAGCAGGCACCTGGGGCGGGCTGCGCTGGGGAGGAGCACTTTGAGCGGAATTAGTGCTGCTGACGGTGGCGGTGGTGTAGCTGCTGTACCCTGAGTCGGAGCGAAGGTCGATGTTGGTCGGCGCCCTCTCCTGAGCGGGCGGCATTTCTTTATCCAAGTCGGATGGGTGCGAGCGCTTGGTGGAGACGTTAGCGGCATTGGGCGAGCGCCGGCCCTGGAAAGGAATAGAGCCGCCTTCGCTGTCATCGGAGAAGCAGTCCTCGACAGTAGGCTGCATCTCCTGTGGGCTCGCCATGTTGGCAGCGGCGTTTGTTCTGTGGGAGAGTAGCGGGCTTCACAGGCGCGCAGAGGGCAGGAGTCGGCAAGATATCTAGCGGCTCTATCGATAATAAAAGCGTCGCGGGGCGATCCTTGACAATCAGGCGAGACGTCGAGAGCGCATTATTAGCACGGGCGTCTTTGAGGGTGCTACCGTCTCATGAAGACGGTGTGGGTGAAGGGGGGGAAAAGAAGATCAGAGCAAAGGAGACGAGGGAAGCAGGAGGATATGCGAGGCAGATGCAGAGTATGACGGGCGAGTTCGTGTGCAGCAGGCTGGCAGGCAGGCATGCAGGCGTTATTCGGGCTTCGACACACGAAACTTTTCCCCCGCCCGTAAAATTCAAAACGGCGTGGTACTATAAACTGCCTTATAGCGGGCTAGCTCTTTCATGCAATGCGTCTAATCGTTGGGCGCGCACCGCATCCGTCGCTGCCCAGTCAACCTCCAACACCTAGTGGTTGGAGGAGGGGCTGTCTCTGCCGCCCTCTACGGCCCTTTCAGTCATGGCATGTCTGCACCAGGCTGCGCAGTACCGCTACGAGTGACGCAGCCAGCCTCCACACCATTTCTTGGTTGAGTGTGCATGCAGACGCCCTCGTTGCCAGCCGCAACAGCTGCCCTCAGTTGAATTGCCATGTCGACTGCTCACTCCACTCTGCCGCCCGTGTAGGGGGAGGCCTGCCCTCCGAGGCCGAGTCTGCAACAGTTTCGCCATGCACCCACACTGCTTCACCCTGCCCACCCTGTCCACCCGGCCACCCTGATGCTGATCATAGGTGTCTTGGTCGTAATAATAGCCAGTTGCGTGGCCATTGGCTGCCTCAGATGCGCAACATCCATCGGTTTGAGTGGTCGTGCATCGTCTCCGTTGGAACGACGTGAAACCGGGATTGCCCGGCCCTCGTTGATGCGAGCCGTTCGCCTGTCTGTGAGGGCTGAAGGCGAGGGCGGACTGCACCTCGATGCACCACTTCACCGCCCTCGCCAGAGCCACGACCAGCACCCTCGCTCGTCAGAACCACGGCTTCAACGCCCGCGACGCTCGATGCAGCCGTCACCAAAGCTTGTCGCCCGCCTGCTAGACTCGAACGGCGTCCTCGGCTGCTGATCACACCTCGCCTTGGCGTTATCTATCGTGTATTACCACAACGCCCGCGATTCTCTGCAGCATCACACGGTGAA